TGAGAAATAAAAATGACTAAAGGGGTTGGTCATTTGAAGAAAGGTTGCAAGCTCAGTTACTTTCAATCGGTTAGGCAATCGTTTTATATGGGAACACTGTAGCATCTTCAATTCATGTCTATTCCTGCTGATGCGAATGCACGAGTGGCGTTTATGTACTGCTCATAATTGTTTGTCGACGATAATTGATCTGTTTACATACAGGAATAATTCATACACTTCAAATAAGCCGCTTCTATAAAACGGAACGAAACCCAGATGTCGTAGGTCGCGTTGTGATAAATTTGTCCAATAAACGGTTCCGTTTGAAATTGGATCATTTTTACAAAGGCAGTTGTGCGGGCTCTTTCATCATGAAGGATTAATTCAAACTGCACTAACTACTTTTGTCAAATTACGTTTCATATAAATGCAGTCATTGGAAAAATTTGAAAAGCAAAGAAAATTGGTTCTCTTAAACGTTTTGAGATAAACTGGCATTGAAATTAGAGCACCTCTCGGTGAGCAGGTGTTGGCTGCATAATGAAATATATTTCATAGACTGGTCCTCAAATTCCAACCTGCAGATATAGCCGTGAACAATAGACAATTTCAAAGTAATGGAGTGCTTGGCAACGCGAAATACACGTATTTTCGCCAACCACTGGGGCTGCTGTAAAGGTTCGTCATGAATCCAGAAACAGATGGTTAAAAAAGTTCTAATGAAGCTGTTTTCAGTCAATCACCAGCTCAATAGATTCATAGCCAGCTACAGAAACTGTTGATGAAAATGAGCAGACCCAGAACAATGAGTGACTGAACTTTGACACCAAAGGGAAGAGGTACCCGGACTTCTGCATCATGCGTTTGTATTGATCGCAGATGGACGAGGGACAAACGTAGTTAGCACCCTCTGTACGTTGACATTAACAACAAATAATAAGTAATTCAAACTCTGGAAGGACAATAAAGGACATCCTTCTCTGTGGCTTGGAGAAGGCAGCACTTAAAACTAGAGGCGACGGAAATGATCTTTAAGCCTTTAAGATCAATATTTGCAGTGAGGTGCTATGACCTAGTGCTAAATGATGTTGTAAGAGAGAGATTAGACCGTCCAACTAAAGTGACCGACTGGTGGCACATAAGATGCTTAAGATTGTTGAGTATTTGCCGACGGGTGGATGGTAGCCGCCTTGCGAAACAGATATTGAACGCAAATCCTGACA